GCACATCTTCACTGGGCACAGCGAATAAAAATTAGTTAGCAATTTTCCCGCCAAAACTTTCATGTGCTCGTACGCGGTCTCAGACGTGTGTGAAGGTTGGTACCGCGGTCCTAGGGTGGCACTTGGTCGGGGAACCCACTGGCAAAATTTTAGCGCCGGAGCTCGCTTGGCTGTTTTGCTGGAATAAGCAGATAAACGCACATACACACACAAAAACATACACGCGCACGCAAATCACGTCATCACAGTATGCGTTTTGTGCTGTGTAACAGCAATACAGAACGTATCTTGTCATGGGGTTGTCTGTGTGTGTGTTTTTGTGTGTTTATATGTGTGTGTTTTTGTGTATGTATATGTGTGTGTCCGCAGCAATTTGTCCGCAACTTTCAACTCGGGAACCACAAAAGCTAAGAAGCAGAAAATTTAGGATAACGTTCCCCACCTACGTGCGACCCCACAAATTTAAATTCAGCCTCCCCATACCCGCGAATAACACGTACGGCCCCGTGAAAGTTTGGGCGGGTAAGATTACTATCACGGGAACCACGGAAGCTAGAAAGCTAAAATTTTGTGAGCATGTCCTCCGCCCATGCACTACCCAGAAAATTCAGCTTGCCCCTGCCCTCGGATAACATGTACGGTCCCGTGAAAATTTTTTGCGGGTAAATTATTATCTCCGGAACCACGAAGTCTAGAAAGCTGAAATTTTAAGGCAATGACCCTTTGCCCACGCTCGACCTTGCAAATTCAAGTTCAGCGTTCCCGCGCTCTCGGGTATCACCTACAGCCCCGTGAAAATTTTTGCGGGTAAATTATTACCTCAGCAATCACGGAAGGATATTCACCCTTCGAGGTTTCAGATTACAAAGCAGTGAAAATCACTAATAGGTAATCATTCGGTGGGCGGAATTGCACAAAACGCATGATCGCACCGGCTAGTCTGGTGCGCTTTGCTATTTATTGCATTTGTATATGTGTAAAAACGCGTTACAACTCCGCGCCTTTGCCGATTCTTATTTTCAAGAGCTCATCAAAAAGGTTGATTTCTGTTGTTTGGTTTGAAGAAGAAAAGAATCCTTGATGTTTTTGGTGCAAGTCATATCATTTCGTTGCTTTGAACGAGCCAATGCAGTACGGGTTGTGTTCCATTGAGAAATTTTTGTGAAAACTGAACGAAAAGCAAATATATATGCAAAAATTGGACGAAATTTTGGAATTTTGTACGAAATTTTGCGAAATTCCTCGAAGTCAATGAAAAGCAAGCATAAAGGGAGAAACTCCGTCACCGTCGAATGAGCGAACCACACGACCACATTCGCCCGGGGCAATTTCGAAAATCCACCTAGTTGCGTTGCGCGAAGAGCTCTGGGTCCTTCTGTTTTCACATCGGGCAGGGACGGGCCGCAAAATGCTTGCCATTAGGGAAGCGGCGGGATGGGTGTGTTACGTATTGGGGGTGGCATTTTGACGGGGTGGGGGAGGGTGTACGCCCTATTTGGTTTGACGTGGGTCTGCGTGGGGTACATGTGCCGTTTTGCCTGCTATAGTGGACTGGTCATTCGTTCCACAGCTTGGGCGTCGATGAGTTTGTGTGTATTTGCACGAGCCGGGAATCTTCTCTCCTTCTCTTCCTCCCCTTCTCTCTCTCTCGTAAGGCTCTAGGGCAAGTTTACGTGTGGTGCGTCTAACCCATGCAGTAGCCACGAGCTGTTTTCAGAGCGTAGGTGGATGCAAGGGGGTGGTGAGGGTTCACTCCTCCTCTCTCCTTCCCAAGTGGCACAGGCACCAGTGCTGCAAAAACCCGGGTCCAAAGCTAAAACTAAAGTGAACTAAAGCCTAAAATCACTCCAAGTAGCGGTGTGAAAACCCTATTCCTGGTTTTTGCATAGTTCCGGGATGCGACGGATTCTCTCCTCGATCCCTCGTCGCTACTGTCCCCCACCCCCGTCTTGCCTCTTTTCTCC